CAATATGACAACTTCTCGACATTTTGTTGATGTTTTTGACGCTTATTTGGCTAGGTTTTCTGAAGAAAATGAAAACACAAAAAGGAAGACTAATTAGTCCTATTTGGCGATCTTCAGCGACTATTTAGCCTCGATGAGCAAGCGGAGAGACATAAACATTGTTGCCGTACGGTGAGCTACAAAACAAAAAACAAAACTTGAATAAACTAATAAAGTCATACGTTTTGTTGTTTTTGCTTCAACTTTTATCCATATAATAAAAAGAACATTTCACGGTGGCTTTGGAAATATGACTTTTATTTTCTCGTGTTGAAAACAATATTTTACTCACTCGCTGCGCTCGTTCGTAAAATATTGTTTTCACCACTCGAAAATAAAAGTCATATTTCCGTGCCACCGTGAAATATCCTCTATATATCAACACGAGTGGAAATTGGGAAAACGAGAAATTGTGTGGAAACACGACGCCCGAAGGGCGGAGTGTTTTCACACAATTTCGAGTTTTCCCAACTTCCACGAGTGTTGATATAACTATATATCAATACGGAAAAATGTTTTATATATTTGTTTTATAATATAGCAATGTCAAAAGCCCGAAGAATAAGAACAATTTCCGTGTTACAAGCGGCGGAAAATTTCCCGTGTTGACATGGAGTTATATCAACACGGCTCTTAGCCAATCAGCGTTCAGAATTTACAAATGCTATATTATAAATAATGATATGCGAAAGCGTCAGCGTCAGGTAGCGCAGGCGATAGTCTGGCACGGGTAATACCGAATATTCTCAATTGAGAACATATGGGTAATACCCGTTGAGGTGTATGCTAAACGGGTGTATACATACCCTAACCCTCTGGGGCCGGTTGTTCAAAGGTGGGTTAGCGCTATCCCTGGATTAAAATTTAACCTGCTGTTTTAGTTTGTGTATTTCTACACGTCTGTTTATTTCAAAACTTCAGAGAAGTAAACTCCTATCGATCCAAACAAGATCACTGAAAAAATATTTCCAAATTTATAGACATGCTGTCAGGACGTTTGCTTTGAATTTTAGGTTAACCTAGGATTGAGCTAACCCAGCTTTGAACAACCGGCCCCTGATGTATTAAACCCTGGCCTTCATAATGGTTTTCTATTTTTACATCAGATGGTTCGGGTGTGTATATAGTTGAATGTGTAGCGAATGTGAGCAGACGTAATTAGGTGAGGCCTCGGCCACTAACAACGTCTACGCGGGAGGCTAAACCGATATCGGTCTGATTCATTTTCAGCGCCCACAGGGATATTAACTTCTGTATACAGTATATTATATTAAACTTATGCTTCTTATAATGTAGGGTTTGTATATAGATTATAGATGGGAATGTTGATCTAACCGAGAGCATTTGCAAAAAAATGCAACTATACGCCTTCAGTGAGGAATGCATGCAGCTACATATTCCAGTTGCAAAGAGCTTATACCAGTTCCCGTATAAATACATTCCTATACTAGGTGATGCCAGTGTGAGGAATGAGGTTAAATATTCTAGATCTTTAGCATCTCGCTCGATATAACAGACTTATACTCATTCAAGATCTACAGTATACTTCTGATGGCACGAGGGTTTATTTTGTTGGAACCCTATAGGAAATGTTTCGTCATGGAAAATGTAATTTTCAGTTATTAACAGTAATTATATATCCGTGTGCACCTCTTTACACAAAGAATTAGCACTAGAAAAAAAATGGTGAAATTCATACTATGGAATTTGCGATTGCACCACTATATCCACAGTATGGAAATTGTGATTATTATAAAAAATGGATTTCCGTCAATCCGTCATATTTTCACCTAAGATCCATACTATTTCCATTGTAAGAATTTAAAACACAATTTCCGTTGTAAACGTGACGCTGTATAGAGTGGAAGCGAAAATGACCAGAATGCCGTGATGGACGACCTAGCCAAATGGGGACTAAAATTGCCATGCCATTTTCGCGTCGTCTTTGTTTGGTCATGCTTTCCAAGTACACAGCTATTTCAATTAGCGGAAAAGTCGAAAATGAGCACGAAAGCTTGCTTTGAATCGCTAAAAATTAATGAATGTCCAATTGGAAACGTAAGCTTACCTGAATTTTAGGCAAATATACCATGATTACAAAATTACTGAACCCAGGATGTCGTACAAGACTGAATTGGCTGCGAACTTACCCACCAAAAATCTACCCAGCAGTATTTGTAACAAAATATTTATAACAAAAGCACTCACGGTTTCCGCTCAACGTGGCGGTGCTGTTTCCTGGGATGGGACGGTAACAATGACATAGACAGTCCTACACTCTAGAAAATTGTATGAGCTACGTACAGGGCTAATATATTGCGATTGTATGCAAATGTGACTTTAGAATCATCCACGTCCTGCATGCGCGTCTCACATACAGTTCGTTTTAGTACCTATACGAGTGTTGGACGGCTGCCAATGCAATAAAATTTATAATATTTTGGCACAGGAACGAATAAACAGAGAATGGAAAGAAGTTTTAGACGCCAACCTAGCTAGCTTTGTTTACCACGTCAAACTCCACCCAATCGCCACTTGTGTACAAGGACTGCATTCGTATCCGTCGAAAGTGATATTCAACAAATTGGCTTTATACTGAATTAGAAGTCGTCTCAATTTGTGTTAGATTAAGTTGTATTGTTATGTTGTGTTCGTTGTATTAGCAGTAGCAATAAACTCTTACGATTGATCAAAAGCGACATGATCTCTATAATCATGTATTTGAATTAATCCATTTTGGTTGTCGCAGGTGCGCACATTGCGCCGTACCCATTCATCATATTGAGAATGTACGGGGTGGCGCAAAAAGAAGTTCTCGTGTTTGATTTAGAAGCTATTAGAATTAAACAAGATGCATTGCATTCAGTAATTTCTGGTGGAAAATTGGACATACGCCAAGTGTAATTTTATGCAATATTGACCGACAGCTGCGTTTAAACTTGAGTAACCTTTTTTGATAGTGTCGTGAATAAGCCAAAAATGACCTATCAAATATCAACACAGCAATAACATGTGCATGTTTAGACACTACATATACATACAGTCAGAAAGTACACGTTCGTTTTCTGAGACCTGCCCAACGTTGCATGTACTGTATAACCTCACGAGCGTCATCTACCCTTGCATTTTCTAAACAAATCGAAACTCTTTGTTCCTTCGTTAAACGGGGCCGGCGTATTTATAAAAAAAAAAGAAACGTTTCTTACTTGGAACATTAGAATTTGATTAGCAAGGGTCATTGATTATTTAGAATAAATAATTTAAATGAATCAAAATCATTTAGGGCTTTCGAATACAATAGAGTGCAGCTTCATGCAGTTTGACTGCACGGACATAAAAACATTGGATAGGAAATTCATGATCACGCATAATGTTTCCAGCGTGTTGGTGGCGTCTTAGCAAAAATACAGCAGCGCGGCACTTCAGTAAAAAAGTAAGAATATAACGATGGAATATTTAAATATCGTGGTTTGACTATAGTTCAAATACAGCTACATTCTATACTTTCAGTTTCACTACCGCTGCCGTTGAATACACATCTGCATGATTGGCTATCGATATGGTAATGGTAGTATAGTAGTGGAAATTATTAGTTATATATAGTACTAGGAAATTACTTAGCATTCCAAATTCGATTGCTGTAAATTGTTCAGTGTTTATCGCCCTAACGGAGAAAACGGCAACCGAAGGGTTGGGAACATCTGATGTATTTTCTTGATTTAGTGCATAAACTACAACTATTATTCACCACTAGCTCACACATCGATCATTTTCATATTTACGTGAGTGGCATGGCACTCGCAAAGATTCCACAATATTCTTTTGAAATCGAAGTCAGACAGAAACACGTGAATAATACGTAAGACTGAATAAATTTCAAAATACATTAAGGAATAAAGTCGAGACTATCGCCCGTATTCTAAAAGCTCACTCACACTCATACTCAACGAGTGGATGTTCAATCTGAGCTTTTCTCGAGTGTCAATGCTGCTTTTGAATAGTATTAACATTACACTTCTGTCCAAAGGCGGAATTTTTCGAAGAGATTGTGAAACTTTATGGTCAGAATTTGTCGTTTGCTTCCTGTTAGTGTTGCAAAACGAAGTTTGGTTAGCCTGGTTTGGTGTTTCAAATAACGGTAAGCGACCTAACCATTCGATATTGTTTTGTTGGGAAGCTGCTGAGACAAACGATTTGCCGGATTTGGTTTTATATTGTTGTTATCATTGGTCGCTTGAGTGATTTGAGTAGCTGCTCGTTCTTTGGTAAAATAAATTGAGAGCTGTACTGCTTCAATTGATTCATTTGACTGATTATTCATTTCAGACACTGGAGGGTCATGGTTAAAGTCCGCGGTTGGTTGATTAACATTTCTTTGACTGTTATTAATTTCACGTGAACAGCCACTAGAAGTGATACAGACATCAGCATTTACAGTTGGTAGAGATTTTTCTTTTACCATTTCACTATATACAGACCCAAGGTCCCAAACTACAGTTCGCATTTGATGTATTCGTTGACAGCAATTTCACTTCTAACTCTGAGATACATGATTTTAGATGCAAATTTTCACAATTTAATTTGCATAGTTCTTGTTTATTTGAATTAATGATGTTATTTTCTGCTCAGAGAGTTTATAAGATAAACCTTGCAGCTGTGCCTCAACATTTTCCTTAAATATGAAAAATTGATATTCAAATTTTGCTAGATTTCCTTCAGGGTGTTGTCCGTCGGTTGGGCAGAATCAGGCAGCCCAAAAACATTACAAAATGACTTGCCAATAAAGTCTTCATCATCGTCAAGAAAAACAACTTTCCCTCTCATGCCATTTCGCAGCTTTGTGGATAGGTTGTAAACCAGCATTACCTCTGCTCCAACTTTAAGCTGTAATCTGGATTCTTGTATTGTCACTTTGTCTAACAATTTCTCATCCATACTATCAGTGGATCGGTAGACCTTAATTTCACCAGGCAGTTTGTCAAGTTGTGACATATTAAAAAAATTTGCACCAAAATTATTGCAGAAAATATGGGGCACAAACTCTAGTGTTTGTCATCCAATTCTGCTTCAATAAAAGCTGCAGTTTCATCTGTTACTTCCCCTGATGACAACTGTTTCAGCACCGCAACAAATGCCTTTTGACTCTGGCGGTACACTTCGGTCAATTCTACACAATGAGGAAACATTATGTTCCATAAGGGACTTTCAAAACAGTACTGACCTTCATCAATATCGTTTGATACAAGAGGAAGTTGCCTGAAATCACCAGCAACAATTACCTGAATACCTCCAAATGGGTTTTTTTTCGAATCCCCGAATTTTCTGGGCAACATAATTGACATGTTCGAATGTTCTTCGACTTAATTGCGAGATTTCGTTGATAATCAAAACGTCCGTAGTTAGCCATCTCGAATAACATTCCTCCCTACCTTTTATCGAGTTGACTACGGCATCCACATTCACCCTTGAAGATTTAAGCCAACGAATGAATGTAGTGTTATGGCATTGTCATATAATCCACATGCCATTCCTGTAGTACAGGTAACACTGGCATTCTTCGTGACACTAAGAAGTTCCACGAGCTTTTTTACAGTAAATGTTTTCCCCGTTCCACCAGCGCCGCCAATAAAAACATTGTGACCATTCATTGCAAGATCAAGGACTTGTCTTTGTTTCACATTCAAATTACACGATTGCCTAGGAAGTAGAGCTACAATCAGCATTTTATTCACAGTAATATAAACAATTTAAAAGTGAATAAATGATTAAATTAAGATTCCCACCTGGTGTATCAATAGCTACAATTTAAACAATTCTTTTAAATGAGATATACCTACATTTTTAGACTTCCAACTGTAAATATCAATGTCGAATTTTATAATAGTATAAAACAAGAAATGGCCGGCAACACAAACTGTGATTCTTTTCAATAGCTGGCTCAGTAGGACGAATGATTCCGAGGGGCTCTCCGAACACCAATCGGTATTTTCCGATAATGACGTTTCCATAAGACTTGTCCAAGCTACTTATGGAACACACTGAACGCAACATGTACTCAGGAATGTCGTTAATATTTACATAATTTTTATTGAATTTTCGAATACAAGTATCATTACTTGTTTATGAACATTTATAAAGGTGATAAAAGGAATAATGCTTCCAAAACAAGATCACGATCGCGTATATTTGAATACACTAATCAGTGGCTCGCCAATGTTTCATCCCTTTCCTCTTTTCCCTTATTTTTCGCGCGCGCGTTCCTCGCTTCCGCGTGTTTCGTCCACTGACCGCTTTGATATAACTGTATCCACGCGCGTTTCTGCACTGACCGCTTTAATATAACTGTATAGAGAATATGTATGGCATTAAATAATATACAGAGCATTAATACCCATTTTCATACAGAGATATTGATAAATAAAAATATACAGAGCATTTTCATACAGAGATATTGATAAATAAATAAGTCATAGTCGGGCACCCTGTGCACAAAGTTGTTATGCGAACCAATTCTTAGTCTGTATATCTCAATTGACACACCCATATTTCGATATTCTCACTGTTTGGAATAAAATAGTTTCGTTACAGTAAATTGTCAATAAGTAGTGTACTGTGTATTTTCAGTATTGTCTTTGACAGTTTGTATTTGTAATTCTTTTAAAATTGCACAATGGCAAAGTCTCAATAATCCCAGCACAATGGCAATGGGCTGCTTTTTTTACCTGCACAATGGCAAGGTTCAATTTGAGTGCGTGGCCTTTCACGCAAATAGCGCCTGATAAATAATCAGTGCGAGCACAATGGCTCCGTTTCAATTTGAGTATTTTGAGAGCGTGGTCTTTCACGCTAATAGCGCCCTGATAAATAATCAGTGCGAGCACAATGGCTCCGTTTCAATTTGAGTATTTTGAGAGCGTGGCCTTTCACGCTAATAGCGCCCTGATAAATAATCAGTGCGAGCACAATGGCTCCGTTTCAGTTTGAGTATAAAATTGAGTATTTTGATAGCGTGGCCTTTCACGCTATATAATAACGCCTGATAAATAATCAGTGCGAGCACAAAGGCTCCAAAATCACAACAGATAACAGAATATAAGGTAAATTAAAAACAGCAAAGCTTTACCTACCTTCTAAGGTCTTCTAAAAGCGCTCGATTGTGTAAAATATTCGGCCAAGAATCGACGAAAATGTGCATGAAGTTTGGTTTCACATCACATGATCAGTTGTTCTTAATTATGCTATATATATATGTTCGTAAATGTTCGTCGGAAAAGCTCGGTATTTGTCGCATTTTACGAATCTGCCACGTGACCGGTACGCTCACCGCTCACCGCTCACCGCTCACCGCTCATCGACCACCGCTCACCGAACACGACACGAAATTTAGAGCTATATGAAAGTTGCATGCCATATATGGCATGCAACAAAAAAGCTAATATTTTTTTAATTGAATCAATGTTCACCTTCACCAGTGTTTCACAAGATATGTCGTTATATTTGCAAGACATGTCGTTATATTATATTCTACTTATATCTATCTATAGTATATTTGCTGAAATTATCAGCCGGAAAAGGATGTCTCATGCACTTTACCATTATAGCACTTATATA